CTTATCTACTGCTGAAACTGAGTATGTTGCTGCTGCCTCATGTTGTGCTCAATTGTTATGGATCAAACAATAATTAATGGATTTTAGAATTGATGTTGGTTGTATCCCCATTTTTTGTGATAACACTAGTGCAATTAGTATGACCAAGAACTCGGTTCATCACAAGATAACTAAGCACATAGATGTTAGGCATCACTTTTTGAGGGATAACTATGAAAAGGGATTGATCACTTTGGAATTGTGTGCTACTGACAAGCAAATAGCTGACATCTTCACAAAATCCTTAAGTAGAGATCACTTTGAAAGGAACAGGTTAGAATTAGGGATGATTAAGATCACCTAACAAGACCAGTTCAGAATTCACAAAGAAAAAAAATTGGTTAGAAAATCTTGAAATTGTGTAAATAACTAGATTAATTTTTGCTCAGTCTCATACTGCAAATAGTATACTCTTGTGCCATGTGTTAAAATGACTCATTAATCTCTAATGATATTTTCTCTATTTTGGCAAATTTAGACATGCATAAGAGGATTTTCAGTGAAGAATCTGGTTCATCAATCAATGCTTGTTCATCTAGATAACATGATATGTTTTCTACACTCTACACAATTTAAAATAATAATATTTGAATCATGAGCAGAGTTCTGCCCAAGTTCAAATTTCTCTTAAACTTATCCAATTAAATTGAACCAGTTCCGTTCAAGAGAATCCTAACCAAATTAAAACACCTAGATTCTAGGGAAGACTCCACCGTCTATTCAAAATTGACATTTCAGTTTGATTAGACTTCTAATTACCCCCTTGGTTCTGATGAGCCTACCACTACCCATTAACTAATCCCCTTTCTTTAAATTGATCATCATCTTCTCTGCCTTCTCTTCATAATTCTCAAACCGTTGAAAATTCTTTCCATCTTCTTTCATTCTCCAAATTTCAATCTACCTCTCTTCCTTATTCACGAACCAAGCACAAAATGACTAACCCTTCTGATAACCCTGGTACACCCCCACCATGCTCCTCATCTTCAACCACCCCTCAGACTAAGAAAAGAAGAGTAAAAATGCTTGCTCGCAAGACTGTGGCTGGAAGTGCGTTATCAAAGAAATTAAGTCTATGACTGCGGGGGAAGAAACTGGGTCTTCTGATACTGAACAGGTAACCTCTAACCCAAATACTACTACTGTGGTCATTTCTGAGTTGGCTGAAAATCTGGAGAATAGGTTTATTTTAGTTGGATCTGTAGTGGATATAGAAACTTCTGAGTCCAGAAGGAGAGGTGGTAAAAATAAAAAGGAAAAAGAAAAAGAGAGTGGGGCTGCTTGTAGTGAAGAAAGGGGAATGGGTAAAAGAGTGGTTAATTTTTCACCCACTCCTGATACAGGTAGAATGGCTATTTGTTGAGTAGATAAAGTGGAGGAAAGTGTCAAGAAAATAGGGGGAAGTATATCTAGAGAAGCCGTTGAAGGGCTGATTCAACTTGGGCAAAATATAGATGAACATGGTTCATCAGTTGAAGAAACCCTCGCAGAACTATTAAAGAAAGTAGGAGACAGTTACAATCCCAAGAAGAAGAGAACTTCCAAGGTTAAGACCCCTGGCACTGCTGGGGCTAACAAGAAAAGGAAGGTTGCCCCTTCCAACACTGTGGAGAGTCCTCCCTCACGAGGAAGAGCCACCAGAAGTCAACTAAAGCAGATTGAGTAGGAGTTGCAGAAAGCTTTAGATGAAAGCAAGAAGAAAAGGATGGACAAAGGGAAAGAAAAAGTGGTAGAGCCTGTTGAGGGTGTTGATGTGGATGAGATGGACCTGGTCCATCAAGGTGAACAAGTGACTATCGAGGTAGAGGTTCAGACCCCTAAGCCCAAGAAAGCCAAGACTTCTTCTAAGAAATCTACATCTGTACCCAAGTCTGCTGAACCGTCTACCTTGGCCAAAAGGACCAGGTCTGCAGTGAAAACCAAACAAGTTAAAATTGCTGAAGAAAAAGAATGTAGTGAAGAAGAGGAGGATGAGTCAGACAGTGACAAGGACAAGCTGGCCAAGTTTGGCAAACGAACTATCTTGAAGGGTAGTCTCCTGAAGGATTTGGAGGAAGAAGGGATGGTCATGCTGCTGGAAAAATTAGAGGTGCAAGGGTGGAAGGACATGGTCCTTCAGATAGATGCAAGACTGGCAAGGAATGAAACTATTGAATTCATGGCCAATGCTGAGGTAAAGGATGGAAGAGTCACCAGTCTGGTGAAAGGGATACATATTTCTTTTAATGCAAAGGAGCTGGGTGACATACTACGTGTACCTTCTGAAGGCTACAGTGATTACACAAGGCAGAAATGGCCAAGCCTAGACACCCTTCTTACTACCCTGACCATCACCAGAAAATTCTGTGATAATGAAGAAGAAAGTGAGCCCAAGGCTGTCTACAAAAGTGAAATGACCTCCCCCCCCTCTCCCCCCACAAGGTATTGTTTGAATTCATCAACAAGTGCGTTCTTCCTAGGCAGTAAAGGAGGCATAATGCCAACTTCATGGACTTGGTTTTGATAGAATGACTGGACAGTGGGAGGCAGATCAATTGGCCTGAATTTATTATCCAACTTCTTGATAGGGTTATCAATAGCTCCAAAGCCCATGCAATTCCCTATGGCTTCATTCTCACTGTTGTTCTTGCTCATTTTAAGGTACCACTGAAGAAGTGGGAGATGGCTATAAGCAAAGACCATTTTGGGGTTAACACCCTGCTCGCTTGTGATTATGAGGTCCATGTCACTCAAAATAAACCTGTTTCATCTAAAAGGACACCAGTAAATAGCAAGGTCAGAGCTTTGGTGCATGAGAGTGGGGCAAAGAATGCTGAGATAGCAAGGCTAAAGACACGATTGGCTGAGGTAGAATCTGAGAGAGATGCTCTCCGAACAAAACTTGCAAAGGAAAAGGAGAAGAATGATGGAATTGTTCAAAACATGTTGCACCTTTTCCAAGCTAAAAATCAAGCCTCTAGTTCTTCCAAGCCTTAACTTCCTAGCCCAGTCTCGAAATTTCAGTGACCTTGATTCGGGATATCTCTTGTTTTTGCTCATGTTTTCAGTATTTTTATTTCTTTTTGTGTTTTGTGGAAGAATCATATCGACTATCAATGAAATCTGCTGGTTTTTGCTCTAATTGTATGTTTATATTTCTCTGATAGTTTAAATTCTTAGTCTGATTATTGATAATTAATCCATGAATGCATTTGAAGTAGCCCATTGGCCATGAGTAAGTTTTAAGATATGGGTTGCACATATTTTTTATGAAACTTTTCGATGATGCCAAAATGGGGAAAAGGTATGATTTGTATTCTGAACAGTGATATTTATAACCTGATGAACATGGTCCGTGATGATAAGTGAAAATTGTTCTAACATTGTGTTGATGTTGGGCTAAGTTGAAACAGGTCCTAAGCTTATGGAAGCACAGAGTTTGTCATCATCAAAAAGGGGGAATTTGTTGGCCCAAGTAAAGGATAATTTTAAAGATTGACAAAGGAACTCAGGAATGAACCAGGTCCATCACCGGTAGGCATAGACACGGATTCAAAGCACGTGAGATGCACATGCAGGAGAGAAACAAAATCTGGCATAATAATAGATATCTCCTGATCGAAAAGATTGCATAATTGATAAGGAGAAGGACTCCTTACTCAACGAGAACATTATCCAAGATAAGGAAGGAGTTAGGAGTTGAGATTAACTAGAACTCTTCCACCAAGAAAGAGTAGCATTAGAACTCTAGTTATTTCTTCATCTACTAACTCTATATATTGCAGGATGTTCTCACTCTACAAGTAACGCACAAAAGCAGAAGTTAAACGTGAATTGAGAGCAAAATAGTAAGGCATTTTGCAAGCAGTTCGTGTGTGATTCAAGTGTGCGAATCTGAAGCTACATGAACCAGATAGAAGAACCAGCTCCAAGTGTCTATCTTTTATTCTAGTTCAATTGTAGTAGGTATTTTCATATTGTACCTTTCAGCTTTATCTAGAGGCAATTGTAATAGGTACTCAGAGTATTCAAGTTAGAGTTAACTTGAAGTTGTCGCAGCAGTTAGAGGTTCGTTGCCACAACGGGATTAGAGTTAATCCTAGGTTTACAAAAGTATTTTATAAATGCAGTTTTTGGCTCAGTGATTTAGTAGAGAGTTCGAAAAAATCCTACTGGGAAGTAGGTCGCGGTTTTTTCACCTTTTGAGCCAGGCGTTTTTCACGTAAAATACTTGTGTTTTTTAATTTCTGCATTTATTATTCCGCAATAGTAGTATAAGGAACACATAGAAGAACCAGGTCCTTCTATAATATGTGCACGCGAAAAATTGGACACCACACAAATCACCCCCTCTTGTGTGTGGTATTGAAGTTGAAACATCACAGGGATATAACTTATATATAAACATCGACAATGTAATAATTTTTACGCTACTGTATTTAACATATCATAATATATAACAGCTATTTATCCTTATCTTTATGTTGATCTTACAGTCTAAATATTTATTTACATTATCAACGTTTAAACTCAAAAGAAAAGAAACGACGTAGAAGCAACAAAAATGCTTTGTACTTGTCCAGAATATTATTATGTTCATTCAGGTCAAAATTAAATAGCTTTGACATTTTCTAAATGTCAGCAAATTTTGAAAGGTTCAAAAATATAGTGAGTGATTGAGAAAAGAAACAGTGGTTTGGTCGCTTGCCTTAGTATTTGCGTACAAAACTTTCCTTAAAAAAGCCACAAGCCTTTGATTTTTATCTCATTTTATTTGGTAATATTTGGTTTGAGATCACTCACCAACCATGCCAATATTAGTTACATCTTCTCTTGACTATACACACAATTTATATTATACTCCAAAATATTAAGAAAACCAAAACATAGGACAAAAGGAAAAAAACATTTCATCTTAACCAAAATCCTAAATTAACTTCCTTTGTTCTCTACTATATAAAGTGACAGTCTTAACCATATTTTGTACTCTTCATCTTCACTATTCACTAAGATTTCATCAAAGCAAAAAATTAGCAAAGATCAATTTAATGGCTTCTATTAATTGTTTTCACTTAAGAATTCTGATTTTGGAATTCTTGGTTTTGGTACTTATTAGCATTTGTTTTAGCAGTTTGCATGGGATTAGTGATTCACATTTGAGTCTTGATTTTTACAAGAAAACATGTCCTTCTGTAGAAGGAATTGTGAGGAAAGAAATGGAATGTGCTTGTCTTTCTGATCCTCGTAATGCTGCTTTGATTTTGAGATTACATTTCCATGACTGCTTTGTTCAGGTAATCGGAGAAATAAAAATATTCTCAATTCACCTTATTGAAATTACTGAATTGTGCGAGCATCTCATCTAAATGTTTAAGCTAATAGAGAGAGTAGAGGCAGATCCAGGATTTAAATCCTATGGGTTCAATTTTAAGATTTTTAATATTGAACCCATTATATTTTTAAAGTTGTGGGTTCATATCTACTATTTTTGCAATTTTAATAAATTTTTACATACAGATTTTTACTCTGTGTCGAAAATTATGAGTTCCGTTGAACCCGTAGCTAGTACGCTACATCCGCCTCTGAGAGAGAGTATATTTTAAATAACACAAGTTTATTATTTCATCACCTCCACCTCTCGTGTGAGCTCGATTGTTTTTCATGAGTCAAACACGAGTTGATTTATACAAATAGCACATTTATGGCCTTGTATTTATAAATTGGCCTCTTTTTCAAAATTAGACCAATGGTCAAGAGTTCGAGAGTATCTACCGGGTATGAAGTTAAAAATTCAAAGCTAATACAAAGCACGAGTCTAGTTTTCGAAACATGGTCAACTTTTAAATATAAACCAGAAAAGTGGTCAACTGGTGTAAAGTCGCGTCAAATACATGAAAAATATTTTTTATTTTATTTTATGTGTGGCGGTAAGATTTGAACCCTGAAACTCTTGATTGTTATTTTACAATGTTGAATTATGTGACTATTTTATCAAAAAGCTTTAATAAGTTACTGAAAAACGTTGAATTTTTTATTTGACAGGGTTGCGATGGCTCGGTATTATTGGATGATACAGTGACATTAAAAGGAGAAAAGAATGCTCCCAACAACAAGAATGCATTGAAAGGATTCAGAATTATTGATAGAATTAAAAACAGGCTTGAATCAGAGTGCCCAGGAACTGTTTCTTGTGCTGATATTCTTACTATTGCTGCTAGAGATGCAGTTCTTTTGGTATATATTCTTGGAATGTTATTTATCATAACTATAAAAATATAAAATATTAGTGTTTAGGTTTCTGGGATTATTATTTTAATTAATTTATCATCATAGGAATAAGCGAAGTTGTAGTAATAATTCATTAATTAATGATGTTTATAATTAATTTGGTCGCAGGTTGGTGGACCTTATTGGGATGTACCAGTAGGTAGAAAAGATTCAAAAAATGCAGCATATGAATTGACTGATACAAATCTTCCAACTGCTGACGAAGGACTTATTTCTATTATTTCTAAGTTTATTTCACAGGGACTTTCTGTCACTGATATGGTTGCTCTTTCGGGTAAGCATTGTTATAGTTTATATGATACTTTTTTCTTTCTAATCTATTCAAAAAAGAATGATACATTTCTATATGTGAAAACTCTTAACTTTAAACTTCTCATTTTACTCTTAGTAACATGCTCTTATAAGTTATATCCGTAAAAATATCATGGCATATCTAAGACCACCGGAGACGGACGTAGAAATAAGTTGCCGGTTCATCTGAACTCAATAACTTTGGCTCAAACCTTATATATGTGTTAAGAATTTCATTAGAAGGCTATATAGTTAATAGATTTCGAACCTAATAAATAGAATGGGTTGTAGTAGAATTCCGAACTCGAACCCACAATATTCATAGCCTGGATCCGCCTCTAAAGACCACAAGTTCTAAAGACACTTTTAGTATATGCCAAAAGTCTTTCGCTCTTTCTAAAAATTCCGTGCTTAGTTAAATACAGTCATATAAAAATATAACATGGGAGCAAGAAGTCTTTTAAATTATGATTTGCATGGCTTACTAAATTATCACAAAATTAGTAGTAATTGTTTTTAACTTTTAACATTATTGGCAGGTGCACACACAATAGGGAAAGCAAGATGTGTGAACTTCAGAAATAGAATTTATGGAGATTTTCGAATGACAACTTCAATAATAGATCCAATTTCTTCCTCATACCTTAGCAAATTGAAATCAGTATGCCCTCCTATTGGAAATATTGGATCAGACAACAATGAAACATCAATGGACAATGTAACTCCAAATTTATTTGACAATTCCTATTACCATGTTTTGCTTAAAGGAGAAGGACTCATAAATTCAGACCAAGAACTTTATTCCAGTTTTCTTGCAGTTCAAACAAAGAAAATTGTTGAGAAATATGCTGCAAATACAATTGCATTTTTTGAACAATTTGCTGAATCAATGGTGAAGATGGGAAATATTACAAATCCAGAAACTTATGTGAATGGTGAAGTTAGGAAGAGCTGCAGGTTTGTGAATACATAGAATGGTGCTACTTTTGGATCTTCAAAGACAATGAGATCTTCAAATTTTATGTAAAACACAAAGAATATTGAGAATTTGGAATTCAATTTTAATTTCTATTTGATTTGTTTGTAATTTCTCGAGCAGAAAATTCTATGATATGATATTATTGAGAATAGTTGAATCTTTTGTTATAGTAATGAAAATTCTAATGCGACAACTTTGTGGTTGAACTTAATGAACTCTTGAATTTCATATGTGAAATTTAAAATTTCATGACAATGATTATTTTATCAAAAAGAAAGCTTATGGGCCTTTATAAAAAAGAAAGCTTATGGGCCTAGACATTTCTTACTATAAGTTTGTTTTATAGTATATAAGGGGAAAATAGGCAAAATACAAAATTAGCCGGTCGTTCGAAACTAATTGCATTCGCTAGCTTAAAATGATATAAAAAAATAGGTGTATTTTTTTAATATATAATACACATATATGCAAATATATATATATATATATATATATATATATTATTGACTATTATTTTTTAAAACAACGAAAAATATACATTTTTCAAAACTTGAAGTCCATAATTAATTTTGGGCTATCATCTCCTCAATCTTCCTAGAATCCCATTTTCTTATAACATCTTGATATAATCTGCAGTTTAAGCTATGAATCTAGATCTAAGCACATGCATTGAAGCAAAAGATGAAATCTGAGAGGATTTAGAGAGAGAAAATAGAAAGAAGGAGAACTGATCTTATTGATCTTGTATCTGTAATTATGTATCTGAAATACATTATGTGTGGGTATATAACTACCCGTTCCTCACGTGTCTAACTAATAGAGAGAAAAGACTAAAGTTCCCTTACTTACTATCTCCCAATACTCCCCCTCAAGCTGGAGGGTGAAATATATCTAACACTCCAAGATTGGAAAGTAAGTGACTATGCTGGGCAGTAGGTACGCCTTTGGTTAACAAGTCCGCAAGCTGCAGAGAAGAAGAAACATGATGAGTTGCAATATGCCAGACTTGATCTTTTCTCTGACAAAATGGCAATCTATTTCGATGTGCTTTGTTCTTTCATGGAAGTTATAATTCCCTGCTATCTGGATAGCTACCTTGTTGTCACAGAGTAGGTGCACAGGTCTTGAGACATTAATCCCCATTTCATCTAACAAGCCTAAAGTTTTGTGACCTCAGCCACGGCTGCTGCCATGTTTTTGTACTCCGCTTCTGCAGAACTTCTACTCAATGTTTGTTGCTTCTTAGACTTCTAGAAAATCAATGAGTAGCCTAGCTTTATTACATAGCCAGTAACAGACCTCCTTGTGTTTGGGCAAGCAGCCCAATCAGAGTCACAATAGGCAATGAGACTCTCAATTGGACTTGCCTGGAGCAATACTCCTAAACCTGGAGATCCTTTTATATATCTGACTACCCTTAAGTCTGCCTCCATATGTGACTGTTTAGGCTTTTTCATGAATTGACTCAAACTCTAAACTGTAACAACGCTGATATCTGTTCGTGTAATGGTTAAGTATAAGAGCTTGCCAATCAACTGTTGGTTTGTTGTGATGTCTGTTAACTCAAGATCACCTGATTTCCCCATATAAGAGTCATAATCTACAATGGTCAGTCTCTGATTAAGTTTCAGAGGTGTAGTAACTGGATTAGATCCACTCAGCCCAACTTGTGAGATTAATTCCAAGGTATATTTTTTCTAATTGAGTAAGATGCCCCTCTTTGATCTCATCACTTCTATTCCAAGAAAGTATCTCAACTCTCCCAGATCTTTAACTTTAAACTGACTATGCAAAGTCATTTTTGCATCTTGTACCAGTGAAGAATTACTCCCAGTGATGAGTAAATCATCCACATAGATGAGGATAATTACCATCTCAGTCCCTTATTTCTTGGTGAAAAGAGAATGATCAAAAGCACTTTGTTCATATCCATTATTAAGCAAAGCTTCAGTTAGCTTGATATTCCATTATCGTGAGGCTTGTTTAAGCCCATAAAGTAATTTCAAAAGCTTACACACTTTATTCTCTCCCTGTTTGTGAAATCCCTGTGGCAAACTCATATATACCTCTTCATAGAGGTCACCTTATAGAAAGGCATTATTAACATCCATCTGGAATAAATTCCATCCTCTTGAAGCAGCTATACTAATGACTGCCCTCACTGTGACCATTTTAGCCACGGGTGGGAATGTGTCATGATAGTCAAGTCCTTCCTTTTGGGTGCATCCTTTGGCAACTAATCTTGCTTTAAATCTCTCTACTTCTCCATTTGCTCTATATTTAGTTTTATACACCCATTTGGATCCAATAGCTTGTTTCCCTGTTGGTAGATCTATTATCTCCCAAGTATGATTATCTTCTAGAGCCTGTATTTCTTGTTGCATAGCCTCAATCCGCTTGCTTTCTTGAGAAGCTTCCTTAAAAGAGCTAGGTTCAACACAAGTTGAAGAAGCCTTCAAATAAGACTGATATCCAGTAGTGATATTAGCATAAGACAAACCATTGGACAATGGATATGAACACTTCCCAATAAATTTCTTATTTGTCTCATAGTCTTTCAACCAAATTGGCGGCTTAGATGTTCTAACTGATGTCTTTGTGCCTTGGACCACATCAGAAGCTTGATCTCCTGTCAATGGTGTATGAGAGAGGTATAAGACTTCTGTGTTTTCATTTGCAGGGATTTGTTCTGCAAGTATGTCTTCTATTGGCTGAACTGAACTATTGATGGTTTCATTAGCATCTAACACAGTGACTTGTTCTACAGGTGTTGCTTCTGTTGATTAAGCTTAATCATTTGTAGTGTGTATAGATTCTGAGACACATGCTTCTATTTGAGGGAGAGCTGTATATTCTTGTACTGAGTGCTGAACATTATTCTTAAGGAAGACTTCTGTTGGATTCCATGAAATAGATGACTACAGAGGGAACAATTCATTCAAGCCTGATACTAGTTCCTTGAAAGGGAATACATGTGTCACGACCCAAAATTCACCTAGTCGTGATGGCACCTAACCCAACCGGTTAGGTAAGCCAATTAACCATTAACCAATTCTAATAATAATTAATAAAGCAACTAAATAAAGAAATATCTAAATCTGATACATTCCCCAAGGACTGGTAGTACAAATCATAAGCTTCTAAGAATAGAGTTTACAAAGCTAAAATGAAGTAAATACATCATCTGTTTGAAGAGTATATAAACAGAGTTTTATAGATCTAAGGCTACCATGAACAAGAGGCAGCTACAACCGGAATACGGGTACATCTTCAATTCCAGCTCCCATCGATCTCAGCAACGTCAGCAGTCAATATCTACACGCAAGGTGCAGAAGTGTAGTATGAGTACAACCGACCCCCATGTACTCAAAAAGTAACAAACCTAACCTTAGGTTGAAAGTAGTGACGAGCTTGTTCCAAGGTCAGAGTCCAGCTCCAATAACTAACAACAGTTCATAATAACATAAAGCAAGTAATGAAAGAGGTATCTCAGAAATAAAATGCTTAGTTCGGTTACAGTTCCAGAAAAATAGGCATTTCTTTTCAAGTATCTCAGTGAAAACCCAAATCTTTTACCGAAAATGCCAAAATACGAGTAAGTTTGAAAACTGTAATTTTTCCCAAAACTCCTTTCAATGATAAGTAAAATATTTTATTTTTAGATAGCATGAAGAAAGTACGTTTTTATGCCTACATGTCAAGATATAGGTAAAATCATAAATGTTCCCAAAGCTGGGTAACAAAAGGAAAGGCATCTCTATGCATGTATCTCAAGTACGCATGACAAATGCAATGCATCTCAATGATGAGCTCATGTACTCACATTCTCAGAGTACTCAATCTCACTGTCTCGCATTCCCTCTCACTATGCTCAATGCTCGCACACTCAATCACTCAGCACTGTACAATACCTGTTGCGGCGTACAGCCCGATCCACATATATATAGTCAACTGCGCTCACTGGGGGTGTGCAGACTCCGGAGGGGCTCCTACAGCCCAAGCGCTAAAATCCGCACGGACAACTCACGTGCTGCACGGATAACTCACTTGCCATAATATCAATATCTGGATCCGCACGGACAATTCACGTGCTATAGTATCAATATCCTCATAAATAGGCCTCCGGCCTAACTCAGTCATCAATCTCTTCAGTTTCACTCACGAGCTCACAATGTCATAAAACTAGCCCGACAATAATGATATGATGTATCAATAAATTGATAACTGAGACTGAGATATGATATGAATGCATGAATATGACTGAGTACGAAATATCAATGAGATCAGTGAAATGACAGCAAGAAATGACCACTATGGGTCCTAGCAGTATCGTCATAAAACCTAAACATGATATCTAGCATGATTGACAGCTCAATTACTTTATCACACGGTGAAAACACGGACATCAACAAAGTAGGACGACTATACAGTGCCATGGTAATAACAGAGTCCCAATTCACATGGTGCACGCCCATACGCCCGTCACTTAGCATGTGCGTCACCTCAATACCAATCACATAACATGTATTTCAGTATTTCATACCCTCAGCACTAAGTTTAGAAGAGTTACTTACCTTGAACAAGCCAATACCAATGCCGAGCAAGCCAAACGATGCTCCAAAGATGCCATCAAGCGTGTTCTGACCTCCGAACGGCTCGAAACTAACCAAAAACACCTCAAGCCCAAAAACAGCCAAAATGCCCAACTGGGCCCGCACCTCGAAACCCGACAAAACTCATAAAATCCTACAACTCATTCAATTACGAGTCCAACAATACTAGTTTTACTCAAATCCGACTTCGAATCGATGTTCAAAACTCAAAATTCACATTATGAAACTTTAGGCCAAAACTCCCAATTTCTTCTTTAAAATTCACAATCCAATTACCAAAAACGAAGATAGATTCATGAAAAATAACCAAACCCGAGTAGAGAACACTTACCCCAATTCATATGGTGAAAATTGCTTTAAGACTCGTATCAATCCGAGCTCCATAACTCCCAAAAAATAAAAATGGCTGAAACCCTCGAAATAGAGTACTTTATACTTCTGCCCAGGCATCCTCTTACGCGAACGCGGTAGAAGCCTCGCGTTCGCGAAGTACAAACCCACACTGCCTCACTTTGCACTACGCGTTCGCGAAAAAATCCTTACG